GAGCTGCGTGAGCAACGTGGGCAACGTGAGCAGAGTTTGGCAGCGTGAGCAACGTGAGCAGAGTTTGGCAGCGTGGGCAGAGTTTGGCAGCGTGGGCAGAGTTTGGCAGCGTGGGCAGAGTTTGGCAGCGTGGGCAGCGTGAGCAGCGTTAGCAGGCCCTGCTAGCATCTTGATGATATAAACGACTGCAGCAGCTGCCCTCCCAAACCGTCCTCCAGATCCAGGTCCAGCAGACAGAGAACATCCCAGGTTTTCCCCGCAGAGCTGAAGAGGTCCCTAGTTTGGTCCGTGCAGGCAGATGGAGGATCATGGAGATGGCTACCATGACAGGCCTGAGCCTGAGGCTGGAGGGGGGCTGGGAACTGAACCAGAATGGCAGGACCTTTTTACAGCCCTAATGCTCTTCTCAGAGCCTCAGATCTTCTAGTCAAAGGCTGGTAATGGTCCCATTGACTCCTTTTAAGACCAGAGGGGATAAAGCTTTTAGGGCTGTGACCCCCAGACTGTGGAATGCATTGCCTCTGACTTTGTGCTGCCTTGATTCTCTTAATAATTTTAAAAAGCAGATGAAGACACATTTGTTTAGATTGGCTTTTAATTAGTTTTCAATTGTCTTATGTCATACACATGTTGTTTTATTGTTTATCGTTTGTGTTTTTATCTTTTATCTTGGGTTTTTATGTCTTGTATTCTGTAAAGCACTTTGTGGTTTCAGACCAGTAAAAGGTGCTATATAAAAAAAGTGTACTTACTTACTTACTAGGATGGCATGATGGCAAGGCAGTGACGTACAAAACTGCAGAAGTATGTCACGATCATACCCGTAGTGTGGGTGTGCAGTGTATGTGCAAAAAAAGGTCAAAACAAGAACAACAGGAACAAAAAATATTGAGTTGAAGCGGAGCTCCCATCAGTGCTGCCATACTGCAGCGCTCGTGATGTCACCTCGCTCCCCACTCCACGCTCTGCTTTTAAAGATTCCCAGGGTGTGGAGGGGGGATCTTTGTCATCCTAGCTAAGTGGAAATGAATAAGGACCATGAATACCCTGGCCATAAGTCACCACGGAAAGACTGGCTTGGAGACCATTCGAGGCCCTATTTACTGCATGATGAGACAGTCCGTTCTGATCTCGCTGAATCGGCTCCTGTGAGGGTTCCCAGGCATCGTCAGGGTCTTGGAAGTTGTTGTCTGTGGCATCATACTTGTTCTTCAGTGTTGAAGCAAAGGGGTTAAAGTTTTCCTGTACACTGTACTGGGGTTGCGTGTTGAATTCTGTCTCAAAGGAAGAAAGCTGCTGTGTGACGCCAAGGAGGCCTCCGACTTCTATACTGAGAATCACCCAGATTACATCTCCATAAAATAATCCTGAAGCTGTACATCTTCTACTGACCTGATACATGCCTGGATTTGTGGGACTTCACATCTGCACACTCATATCTGAGATTTCCTGCATATCTAAAGATTTTACCAAAATCGCATTTACATGCCCAAACTGATCCCCACCGATGTATAGTACTTAATACAAACCCCCGGTGGCGACGACTCTGCACCTGTGTTTTGTATTCTCCAGGTTTTTGTGAACAACGTATCTGGAGGGACCAACTCTCCTTCCCCAATTGTAACATCTTATACAAAGGACATAGATGGTGTGTTGATGCTGGGGCTTTCAAAGTCATAAAATGTACCAATAGCAGCTTGTAGGTTTGGCATTCCTGCCTGACAATTCAGCGTGGATGGCATCTGATTACATTTCCATACTACTTCTTGCATGTTGTCAAATGAAGTTGACTTCGACTTATTTGTGAAACCAGTTCTAAAGCCCACAAAATTCAACCTCGACTCTTCTGGGCAGAAAGGAGCTGCAAACTTGGTATGTGTATGCTGTGTATCAAAGATAATCATCAGCAAATGTTCTCTCTGTGTGGGTATGTATCAGCGCTAAAGAGGCAGATGTAAAAAGGACTTGTTTAAATGGTTAAAAATCACATAATTTTAAAATGAATAACTAATAGAAAAAGTGATATGTGATTAAAAACTTGTGATTAAGTTGAACTGATTGTAGTTAAGGAAAAATCATTAATTGCCAATTGTCAATTCAATTGTCAATTCAGTTTATTTATACAGCACCAAATCACAGCAAAGTTGTCTCAGGGCACTTTACAGGAACATTCACATACATAAAAGCCAATTAGTAAAGTTCTCTATTTAAGGAATCTTAATCTATGTTTGGTATGAACAATTTGGTTTGAAATGAACAGAGTGAATCCTGAGATGAACTGCAGTGGCCCTGCTCTGAGTTAGAAGCTATAAATATGGCTCGCACTCACAGTTCTGGGCTGAACAGTTCTGGGAGTTGGAGGGACGAAGGATGGTATTAGACTGCTCTGGCTGCAGAAGAAGATTTGGACAAACCAAAAAAGACTCCTTTAGTCAAGATAGGAGTTTCTTTTTAGTTTCAGCTCAGACTTTAGACCAAGACAAATTTTCTTCAAATTGAGACTGCTTTCTGAGTGAGGGACGTGCCTTCTCCAAGGTTTTGGAGAAAGGTTTTCACTTGCCTTTAACCAAAGCTTTCTTCAGACAAAGGAGACTGAGGAGAGACTGAGGAATATGGTAAGGGATGCTCTGATTTACTGTTCTTTTACAAATTTTATACAAAATAATAGTGACGGCTCGACCAATCCATTAAGGAAATTAGAATAATTTTATCAACATTTTGGGTCCTCTGTTCATGAATGCCAAACAGTGGAACAGGTTTTACAAAGACAAATAACAACAGTTTGGAGGGATTTTTTTGTAAGCTGACTAGCGAGTTTTAGAGTTCTTTGGAGTTCTAACCCATGCTGGGACTCCGGGGCGTGGCCCATCTAGATAATAGGAAGGCTTTCCTACATCGGTTCACAAGAGCTTTAAGGATTCCTAACTCCCTATCTCAGCTCATCGGAGCCAGGAAATCACCACATTAGTTGGACTTCTAATCCTTTGGACATCAAAATCAATTAACAAGATCATCCCTCAAGCAATGTATGGACTCTTTATTACCGATTCCACTATATAACCAAATGTAATAATTTTTGGATTGTGCATTAACACTTTTCCCTTACAAATCATTAATTAAAACAAAGCATAAAATGTAAAAATCTGGACTATCATTTCATCACTTCGTGTACATGGATTTAAGAAGTTTGGTTCAATTCCAACAATTTAGGGAGGTTTTAATGGTTAACCAGCTGTGAGTGTTAAGACAACATCCTGGAATCCTATTCCTGGATTCTAAAAATAACCAGATCAATAAGAATTGCCATTCTACAATGAAGGTGAATGACCGTTAATGCGAGTTTCCCTGTGGACGACGATCCAACTCCGGCTGCTAGGTTGGGCGAGTCACGGGGTGAGATAAGGGTGTGGCTCACAGATGGAGGTTGTTAACAAATCTGGGTGAGTCACCTTTAACACAGGTTTAAGTAGAACTAGCCTAAGATTACTCTGGATAATACTCAAGTGTTTAGACTTAATTCATTATATCCCTTAGAGGATAGGCTGCAGTAGGTGTTAGCCATATCTCAGGTGGTAATTCCACTGGATAGATGAAGCAATGTGGACTCTCATGTTCTCAGGGGTACCCTACCAGAACCCTGGATAAAAACTGCCTTCCATTAAAGTTCTGGATATCTGTCAGTCCTCACCTGTCTGCGGTTTCCATGGTGATGATGTTTTCAGATGAGTGCATCTCTGAAAGAAGAAACAAACGTACATCACATAAATGTGGGGAGTCAGAAAAAGATCACGTTCTTTAACGTCTGGTATCATTTGCATATTATCACAGAAACAGATCAGAGTTCAGCTCCGTGTCTCAGACAAAACTCTGACTCTGACCTCATTTCAGATTTAGTTGAACAAAGTGGGGCCAGAATGTTCTCTAATCTGGTCTGAAAATATATTTTTGGTTTTATACATTCAGACGTTGGCTGCATAAAAACAAGCAAGCTGTTTTATCATGTGTAGAGAAGTGAATGCATTAAGCTCAGATTTGCCTTTTTTCTGTATTTTGGGTTCTTGCCATAGAACCCAATTTAAGAATTGTTTTTATTTGTTCTCTTTGAAGGGAAACAAGGTGCACCAACAGTACAACAGTTCAAGATTATCAATTCCTGTTTTTGTATTTTTATGTTCTGAAACATATAACAGAACCAAAAAAAGTTTCATGTCAGAATATTGAAGGTTGGTGGTTTTACCATGGTGATGGAGCATGCCAAGTTTGAAGCTCATAGGCTGCTGTGTGTTTCCATTTATGGGGTGAATGCTGACTCCGTCCTCCCACAGCAACAACCAGACATCTGACTGATTCAAGGCAACACCCACTTGAAAGGCTTTGCTGACAGCCAAGGCTCCGCCCACCTCAGCATAAGACACGTCTCCTGGGAGAATCACCTGGAAATAAGAAGAGTGAATATTCTGGTCTGTCAGATTCATGTTGGTGTTTAATCTTCAGAGCCTAAAGCAGATGGGTTTAACATCAGAACCTAAATAGATGGGTTTAGCTTCAGAACCTGAAGAAGACAGTTTTACCTTTGAAACTTGAAGTAGACGGGCTTAACATCAGAACCCAAAGCAGGTGGGTTTAAGTTCAGAACCTGACTCAAGTGAATTTAGCTTCAGAAACTAGAGCAGATGGGTTGAAGCTTTAGAACCTGAAGTAGGTGGTTTTTACCCTTGGATCCTGAAGTAGGTGAATTTAACTTCAGAACCTGAATCAGGTAAATTTAGTTTCAGAAATTCGATGAGATAGGTTTAACTAATCTGAATCAGACGGTTTGAGCTTCAGAACCCAAAGTAGGTGGATTTAGCTTCAGAACCTGAAGCAGGCGGTTTTACCTTCATAACCTGAAGTAGATGGGTTTAGCTTCATAACTTTAAGTAAATGGGTTTAACTTTAAAACCTGAAGTAGGTGAGTTTAGCTTCAGAACTGGAAGCAGGTGGTGTTACCTTCAGAACCGGGAGTAAATGGGTTTAGCTTTAGAACCTGGAGCAGGTGGGTTTAACATTAGAACCTGGAGCAGGTGGGTTTAGCGTCAGAACCAGAAGCACATGGGTTTAGCTTCAGAACCTATAGCAGGAGGGTTTACCTTTAGAATATAAAGCAGGTGGGTCTGCAGTGTCTCCTTGTCATCAGCATCACAGATCAGTTGATCGTTCAGCATCACCAGCTGGAACTGATTATTCGGCCTACAAACAGAGTTATAGTTTGAATATTAAATCAATAAATGAATAAATAAACAATGACCCTATCAACATCAAGGGTACTAAGATGGACACTGTGGACTGCTACAGGTACCTGGAGGTCCACTTAGACAATAAACTGGACTGGACAGCTTACACCAAAGCCCTCTCTTTCAATTCAATTCAATTCAATTCAGTTTATTTATATAGTGCCAAATCACAACAATGTTGTCTCAGGGCACTTTACAGGAACATTCTCATACATAAAAGCCAATTAGTGACAACAGTGGATAACAACAACAACAATAGACAGTCACAAAAGAGGCATACAAATTTAAAATTATTTTGTTTTTTAACAAATCAAAACAAAATAGCAACCAAAAGGACAATCAAAAGGAAAAGTAGTGAAAAGAAAAAAAAAAACCCCAGCTAGATTATAAGACGGTGTAGAAAACTAAAAACAGGAACATGTCTGTTTTGTTTTTTGCTAGGAACTTAGAAGTTTAAAACCACTTAGAGAGGTCAAAGGTCGAGAGCTTCAGATCTTTTTACAAGATATTCCAGGAAACAGGAGCGGAGTAGGAGAAGGTCCTTTTGTCTAGTTCAGTCCTCACTGAGGGAACACTGCAGGTAATGATGTCCTGAGAGCGCACGCTGTAGCTGCACTCACACAGAGACATGTAGGAGGAGATGTATGAAGGCAGCAGACCAGGAAGTGATTTAAAGATGGAAATGTACCAGTGAGAGAGTCTGTGTGAAGTTAATGGTGACCAGTTAACCAGTGAATACTGGGTGCAGTGGTGGATACGGTAGTTACAGCCAGTTATGAATCTTAGTGCACCATGATAGACAGCATCCAACATCTGCAGCATCCAACATCTGCAGGGTTCTTGTAGGAGCATTCATGTAAATAATGTCACCGTAATCAGTGGAGGATCTATGATTTTTATGTGCCACTTCACGTATATTTATGGTTTACATGTGTGTACTTTATGTATATTTATGGTCTTTGTGTGTACTTTATGAATATTTATGGTGTTCATGTGTGTACTTTACAGTGGTGGAGAAAGTACTCAAACACTGTACTTAAGTAAAAGTACAAATAAAAAGACAAAAATGTACTCTAATAAAAGTAGAAGTACCATATTAACATTTTTACTTCAGTAAAAGTAAATAAGTACTTGCTTTAAATATACTTAAAGTATTAAAAGTAAAAGTACTTCCTGAATGTATTACATAATGCTATGGTCTACATATCATTAAGTGTATCTACCGTATGTATATTTTCTGTAATACATTAATAGTGTTGTTCCATTTTAATGAACGATGCTGCAGATATACATGTTTTTATTGTGTTTACTCTGTGACACAGTTCACACTTGGACTTGTGATTCTGTGCGTTAGAATTTCAGGGATGACCTGCAGAGTTAAATGTCATTAAGCAAAATAAGAAAGAGGAATGATTATACATTTGAAAGTTTTTATTTAACACACATCAAAACCAATGTGTCATTTTAACTGCAGTAAACATGTTTAAGTAAAAGTTGTCTGTCTGAACAGAAGGAGCATTAGACACAACTAAAAAAGGAACAGGCTCTGATCATTTCAACTCCAGTTAAAATATGTCTATTCAACCTTGTAATGGGTCAATATTGAACAATATTTTAACTTCCTGACACCATTTTTAAAGCTTGGACTCGAGTGTCGAGACATTTGGAGACATCTCTTGTCCCCTAACGTCCCATGAACTGACACATTTTAATATTGCAGCAAGAAGTTCTTGTTCAAGTTCAGAAGAAGTTGATTTTCAAAGATTTTTGAGTCCAGTCTGTCTCTTTTGGGAGAGACAATCTGTCCTGTTGTACTGAGCAGCCTTTCAATAAGGCCATGGGTGCAGCGTATCTTCTGACTGACTCTCTTGCGGTGGAATCCATTTTGGGTGTGTTAGTGGTGCTGCGGGTGCACCCAGCTCAGGGACATATATATACTAGAATATATGTCATTGGTCCAGCTCTTCTTGAAGGCGGGGCCTAACGTTACCTGCCCACTCTGCAGTGATTCAATGGACCAGCTCCTCTCATCATTAGTTACTTTCAAAGTAACGAACAAATCAAAAAGCTGCAACATGAATGTAACTTGTAATGCAACACATTATAGAAATGTATTGTAGAAAGTACAGATACTTGATGTAAAATGTAGTGGAGTAAAAGTATAAAGTACCCACATTTAACTCTACTTAAGTAAAGTACAGATACATGAAAAATGTACTTAAGTACAGTAACAAAGTATTTGAACTTAGTTACATCCCACCACTGGTACTTTATGTATATTTATGGTGTTCATGTGTGTACTATATGTATATTTATGGTCTTCATGTGTGTACTTTATGTATTTTTATGGTGTTCATGTGTGTACTTTATGTATATCCCCATTGAGTTTGTTGATTCCTATAAATATTTGGGTATCTTGGTCGACTCACATCTCTCTTTTAAGCTCCATGTGGAAAACTTGATAAAGAAACTGAAAGTTAAACTGGGTTTCTTTTTCAGAAACAGATCCTGTCTAACTCTGAATGTTAGGAAACACCTTGTATCTGTGACTTTCCTTCCCTCCATTGATCACGGTGACATTATTTACATGAACGCTCCTACAAGAACCCTGCAGATGTTGGATGCTGCAGATGTTGGATGCTGCAGATGTTGGATGCTGCAGATGTTGGATGCTGCAGATGTTGGATGCTGTCTATCATGGTGCTGGTGAAGATTCTCAGTCATCCAGGACATGATGAATTCAAAAAGCGTTCAATACAAAAACAACTGGACTTTATTTGTAACAGAAGACGTTTCTCTCCTCATCCCAGGAGCTTTCTCAATTCAAAGAGCAGAGAGTGAGAGATACAGGTTATAAGGCTGAGTGAGAGAAGACACACACACACATAAGACACACACACACACACACACATATGTAGATTGGCAGTTCACACCTAAACACCTTAACAGTAGTTCTTTGTTCCTCTAATTCACAGACGAGGCCCCTCTGTTCCCATCAGGTGTGAAAACCGGCTGGGGATCTGTTTTAAAGTTGCATTATATGTTTTTGAAAGTGGAAATCTGAGGCCTCCGTCTCTTAACAGAGGGGCCTCATCTGTGAATTAGATGAACAAAGACCTACTGTTAAGGTGTTTAGGTGTGAACTGCCAATCTACATATGTATGTGTGTGTGTGTCTTATGTGTGTGTGTGTCTTATCTCACTCAGCTTTATAACCTGAATCTCTCACTCTCTGCTCTTTGAATTGAGAAAGTTCCTCAGATGAGGAGCGAAACATCTTCTGTTACAAATAAAGTCCAGTTGTTTTTGTATTGAACGCTTTTTGAATGTCTATCATGGTGCACTAAGATTCATAACTGGCTGTAACTACCGTACCCACCACTGTACCCAGTATTCACTGGTTAACTGGTCACCATTAACTTCACACAGACTCTCCCACTGGTACATCTCCTCCTACATGTCTCTGTGTTTGTGCAGCTACAGCGTGCGCTCTCAGGACATCATTACCTGCAGTGTTCCCTCAATGAGGACTGAACTAGACAAAAGGACCTTCTCCTGCTCCGCTCCTGTTTCCTGGAATATCTTGTAAAAACATCTGAAGCTCTCGACCTTTGACCTCTCTAAGTGGCTTTAAGAATCTGTTGGACTCCTGGCAGGGACCAATGCAGACATGTTCCTGTTTTTAGTTTTCTACATTCGCCTTAGAATCTAGCTGTTTTTAGTTACTTTTCTTTTCTTTTTACTTTTCTTTTTATTTAGCCATTCTATTTGTAAAAAGAAAAAAAGGTTGACTTTATATAACTGTTTATTGTTGTTGCTGTTGTCCATTGTTGTCATCTTTCTTTGTTAAATCAGGTCTCTCTTGTAAATGAGTCCTGAGGCTCAATGGGATTTACCTGTAGAAATAAAGGTTGAATTGAATTGAATATTTATGGTGTTCATGTGTGTACTTTATGTACATTTTTGGCGTTCATGTGTGTACTTTTTGTATATTTATGGCGTTCATGTGTGTACTTTATGAATATTTATGGTCTTCATGTGTGTACTTTTTGTATATTTATGATGTTCATGTGTGTACTTTATGTATATTTATGGTCTTCATGTGTATATTTATGTATATTTATGGTCTTCATGTGTATACTTATGTATATTTATGGTCTTCATGTGTATACTTATGTATATTTATGGTCTTCATGTGTGAACTTTTTGTATATTTATGATGTTCATATGTGTACTTTATGTATATTTATGGTCTTCATGTGTATAGTTATGTATATTTATAATCTTCATGTGTATACTTATGTATATTTATGGTCTTCATGTGTGAACTTATGTATATTTATGTAACCTGTCCTGAAAACCTGACCCTACAAATAAAATCCATGTTAAAATGTTGACCTGCCATCGACTGTGGTTCTATTTGAGTAAAAAATGCAAGTAAGAGTATTTCTCCAACAGTTCTTTATTCTAGAATTTAACTGACTTTCTGTTTTTATTTCCGGTTCTTTTTTATGTTTTTGTGGTGAGCTGGTTTATTGTTTTGCCTCTGGTTTATTTTAGTGATGACATTTTAATTTATTATTTATATATATTTCAGTCTCTTTTAGTTCAACTCTAAGATAAAGTTATTATTTTACTTGATTCTCTTGTATTTCTTCTGACAACTTTATAGTTCTTCAAATGTACTAACTTGAGTGCGATATGATATGTGTCTCCTCGTCTCTTTTTTTATAGAAAGCCGACGCATTTCTCTTCGCTCACATTTAGAGAAAACTTTATTTTCAAGAGGTTAGATTTATAAACTGTGCTCAGTACTTTATGTTTAGTTTTGTTTATATGAAAATAGTTATTCTTGGGACAGAGTGACTGGTATGGTTGGTTGGTTAAGTGGTTATTTGATTGGCTGGATGTTTGGTTGGTTGGCTGGTCGGTTAAAGAGTTCATGCATTTCTGGTTT